TTGATTACAGACAACAAAGAATTCTCCTTATTATCCGAGTATTTACACAGCCCTGGAACAAGTTCCTTGTGCTCCCATGGGTAGTGAAACTCAGAGTGCATGTCGCGGTGTTGTGTGTCACACTGCTCTGCTAAACTGTCACTACAATCAGTGAATGTATCTGACTGCGTCGAACCTCAGATAACTCGAAGAATTTACGTAGGATCCTTCAGCTTCGACATAACAGTGTTTGACTGTAGTGTTGTGGAAAAAAATAGGATGTTAGCTGTCTCTGAAAGAAATCCCAGTCCTGTCTTGAATATTAAATGGTCGGTCTCTGTAGGTGAGTGCTGAGTGGTGGAACTGTCACATCATTCCATGTGTTCATGGACCACTGTAATTGTTGTAGTATTACTATAGTAGTTAGACCAATACCCGTCCCCTGCAGCCTGTGTTGGTTGTAACAGGCGACTAAATGGATCGGGTGGCAGGGATGTATCTAGTGTTCCAAACTAAGTGTCCTTGCAGGTGTAGATTTAACAACACATTTGTGTGTAGCCACCAGGGCTTGCCCCTTCTTAAAACTTACTGGCCCTTCTCCATACTAACTGGCCTACAACTATAGGGCCAGCACTTAAATTGAATGTGCCTTGGCAAGCACATTCGAACAAAATCATTCAATTGTTCAAAATTTAATTATTTTAAAGATCTTATTTTCATAAAATCTGATTTATTAGGACATTTTTAATTCAAATTAGGACTCTTTACTATCATTTGCTGCAGACTTAGGGCGGAACATCACCCTCTGAGCAGGTCTAGATAAATCACTGGGTGGTCAGGCTCAGTGTTTAGGTTGATTGTGTGTCATCCTACCCCTACAGCATGGGATGTTGTCATCATATCAAACACAGGTTTGTGTGGACCAGATATGATTACTGGATAGAGCCAGCCGGCATAATGCTGTCCCAGAGTTTCTATAGCAATACGATCCGTATCAGGACGGGGTCAATTAGGTCTTCAGCAACCCATGCTTAAAAAAAAATTGCTGTAAAAGGTGACTATGCTTGTCATAAGAGGCGACAAACAGGATCGGGTGGTCAGGCTTGCTGGCTAATAGTGTTTAATACATTTTTGGGGTATTGCTGATGTCATCACTTTTCGGGCTAGTTGACATTCTTGGTTAATTTCAAACCTTGTTAAATACAATAATTGTGGTATGTTTAGTCGCTTTTTTGTTGCAATTCATGGAGTGAAACCCAACAGATTCCATTATAAGACATATTGATTTCTGCAACACTGCAGCGAGATGTTGTACCAGGTAAGCATGTGTGTTAGGAGTAATTAACAAGGCTGAATCACTGACTCGTGGATGTTTATGTAGAGTTGAGTGAGTCCATGGTTGGAAATACCTGGTATCAGAGTGACAATAGCATGGTTAAATTGTAATGGCGTGGGTGCAATAAGTTCCTGGTGCCTCAAGGGCACTGTTAAAAATCTTTTTAATTTTAGTTCAGAGATAATTCAGAAATGAGCAAGAAACCCACTCGGATACTGCTCATCCTTAAGTCAATATTATACCTTTGTTTGAAACTGGGGTTAGAAAGTTTTTTATGACCTTTAAAATATACCCTCTTCCTGGAGATTTTGAGATGGCCTCTGCCATTCCTTGTTTACAGCTGTGCAGGTTGTAGCCAGAGATACAAGATATCTCCCAATGCTCTGAGGAATTAATGCTACACTGATCAGTTGAATGATTGATCAGTAATTAACAAGTTTACAGTTTGTATTATAGTTTTTATGTTATAATTGAGGAAGGGAACTGAATACCATGTTCTTTGTGTTCTGCTCGGGAGCGTCCGGTGCAAGGCGTGCAGTTGTTGCCGCAGCGCCAGTGTTGGGACTGTTTGGTTCGAACGGGTTTAAACAGCTTCAGTTTATCTAGACTGGTGCTAAGTTTGGTTGTGTACTGGCGGCTAAGTGTTTTAGTGTATTTTTATATTGTTTTGGAATTGTTTCGTCCTGAAGGTCGTGGAAAATAGTTTTTAATGAGTTTTATTTTGAATGTAATGTGATTGTTTTTCTTTTATGTTATTTTGCAATTGTTTCATCATGAGAAGACCGAAAATTTGTGTTTCATGTGTCTAAATTCTAACAACTGTAGATTTTTGTTTCGTGTTTTTTAGTTTATCTGACTCTCCAGCTGATGAGGGCATGTTTTTCTGTGACAAAGTCTGCTGGAATCCAGTTTCTGACTGGCATTATGTGGAGGAAATAGCCATGTCTTGGAGATTTTATGTTTTCTATGAAATAAGATAAAATGATGAACATCCTCACTTTCAGTTTGGTAAAAGAAATTCTGAAGTTCAAAGTTTAAATATAAAGTGACCTAAAATAGAAAATAGTCAACACACATTTATATAAACATTTTGAAACCCTCAAATCTATATCTCACATGGGTTTGAAGGCAAGTGGAAAATTAATATGATTTGTCCTTGAGGTATTGTATGTACTAAGTACTCAGTAAATCTATTGCAATATCTCTGAAAAGTGACTGCTGAGGTTCTGATCTTTTTAGGCCAGTTGGCTTTAAGGCCAGTTGGCTAGAAGGCCAGTTGGCTAGAAGGCCAGTTGGCTTGAAGGACGGTTGGCGAGAAGGCTGGTTGGCTAGAAGGCTAATTGACTAGAAGGCCAGTTGGCTAGAAGGCTAGAAGGCCAGTTGGCTAGAAGGCTAGTTGGCTAGAAGGCCTTTGTCCTTGAGGTATTGTATGTACTAAGTACTCAGTAAATCTATTGCAATATCTCTGAAAAGTGACTGCTGAGGTTCTGATCTTTTTAGGCCAGTTGGCTTTAAGGCCAGTTGGCTAGAAGGCCAGTTGGCTTGAAGGACGGTTGGCGAGAAGGCTAGTTGGCTAGAAGGCTAGTTGGCTAGAAGGCCAGTTGGCTAGAAGGCTAGTTGGCTAGAAGGCCAGTTGGCTAGAAGGCTAGAAGGCTAGTTGGCTTTAAGGCTAGTTGGCTAGAAGGCTAGTTGGCTAGTTGGCTAGAAGGCTAGTTGGCTAGAAGGCCAGTTGGCTAGAAGGCTAGTTGGCTTTAAGGCTAGTTGGCTAGAAGGCTAGTTGGCTAGAAGGCCAGTTGGCTAGAAGGCCAGTTGGCTTTAAGGCCAGTTGGCTAGAAGGCTAATTGACTAGAAGGCCAGTTGGCTAGAAGGCTAGAAGGCTGGTTGGCTAGAAGGCTAATTGACTAGAAGGCCAGTTGGCTAGAAGGCCAGTTGGCTAGAAGGCTAGTTGGCTAGTTGGCTAGAAGGCCTTTGTCCTTGAGGTATTGTATGTACTAAGTACTCAGTAAATCTATTGCAATATCTCTGAAAAGTGACTGCTGAGGTTCTGATCTTTTTAGGCCAGTTGGCTTTAAGGCCAGTTGGCTAGAAGGCTAGTTGGCTAGAAGGCTAGTTGGCTAGAAGGCCAGTTGGCTAGAAGGCTAGTTGGCTAGAAGGCTAGTTGGCTAGTTGGCTTTAAGGCTAGTTGGCTAGAAGGCTAGTTGGCTAGAAGGCTAGTTGGCTAGAAGGCCAGTTGGCTAGAAGGCTAGTTGGCTTTAAGGCTAGTTGGCTAGAAGGCTAGTTGGCTAGAAGGCTAGTTGGCTAGAAGGCCAGTTGGCTAGAAGGCCAGTTGGCTTTAAGGCCAGTTGGCTAGAAGGCTAATTGACTAGAAGGCCAGTTGGCTAGAAGGCTAGAAGGCTGGTTGGCTAGAAGGCTAATTGACTAGAAGGCCAGTTGGCTAGAAGGCCAGTTGGCTAGAAGGCTAGTTGGCTAGTTGGCTAGAAGGCCTTTGTCCTTGAGGTATTGTATGTACTAAGTACTCAGTAAATCTATTGCAATATCTCTGAAAAGTGACTGCTGAGGTTCTGGTCTTTTTAGGCCAGTTGGCTTTAAGGCCAGTTGGCTAGAAGGCTAGTTGGCTAGAAGGCTAGTTGGCTAGTTGGCTAGAAGGCCAGTTGGCTAGAAGGCCAGTTGGCTAGAAGGCTAATTGACTAGAAGGCCAGTTGGCTAGAAGGCCAGTTGGCTAGAAGGCTAATTGACTAGAAGGCCAGTTGGCTAGAAGGCTAGTTGGCTAGAAGGCTAGTTGGCTAGAAGGCCAGTTGGCTAGAAGGCTAGTTGGCTTTAAGGCCAGTTGGCTAGAAGGCTAGTTGGCTAGAAGGCCAGTTGGCTTGAAGGATGGTTGGCAAAAAGGCTGGTTGGCTAGAAAGCTAATTGACTAGAAGGCCAGTTGGCTAGAAGGCTTATAAGTTGGCTAGAAGGCTTGTTGGCTAGAAGGCTAGTTGTCTAAAAGGCTAATAGGCTAGTTATTAGTTTGTCCTTGAGGTATTTTATGTGCAAGGGTCTATCGAAGTAACTAGTCAAGGTGAATGCTGAGCTGAATTTGAGGACAAGTTGGCTAGATAGCAAGTAATAACTTTCAATACGGTGGTATTGCATGTACAAAAGAGTCTTGGTTTTATTCTAATAGCTTTGGGTGAAAGCAAAGGTTGTGAACTTGGAGACTAGGTTGCTTGTTGGCTAGCAATAAATGTTTTCAATGAGGTATTATTTGTACAAAGATGTCATTAATGTCATACACTCCTCCAAAGAAGTTAAAGAACACCTCATTCCTGCATATTGCTACAGTTCATCTCTCATACCATGTAATAGGAAAGAATGGAGGTGTTCTTTTACTTCTTTTGAGCAGTATATCACATGTACAAAGAGGTCCTATAATTCTATTGAAATAACTCTTTGAGGTGGATGCAAAAGTTGTGAGCTTCCATGACAATCAATGAATCATGTTTGATTTCATGAGAAATATCTCTGAGAATTGATTTCTCAAATTCACTCCTTATGGCAAGTTTATTTGAAATGTGAGCATCAGGCAGCATATCTAACGATTTACTTGATTTTGATTGCAGGAAGGTGGGAAATATTGACCTGAATCTCTTTCTAATGGGAAAAATCTGACACAAAGTGACAATACTGAAAATAAAAACCAGCTCTCTTTTTGGTGATGTGTGATTTAATCCAACAAAGCATTGTTGAAGTCCACAGCACATAGATCCATACAGTCGAGATGATTTGGCCTCGTATCCTTAACAGTAGCCCCTGAGGCACACACGCTCTGTGACGTACACACATCCACTATCACTGTAGCAGAGCCAAGGCGTCTGCTCTCACAGGCTAAATTGACGTCTGCTGGTTTGTGAGAATCGTCAATATTTTCCAAAACTATCTTTTCATGGCCAACATTTTGAAGAACATTTATTATGAATGAGCGTGGCAGCATTTTTTTTGCATTGACATCGTTTAATTTTTTTCCTGAGCCTCGTTTAACGAGAGGCTGCCGAGATGGGCTTTCACTGCTCCGATCTGAATCAGTAATATTATTGAAAGTGGGGCAAGTTCTTGATCGAACTTTGTTTGTCTTGGGTGAAATTTCGGAATCGTCACACATCTCAATATCCGTCTGCTCCATGTCATCTAATTCATATTCTGAATCCTGCTCACACTTTTGCAAAGCAAAGACAGTGTTTTTCTTCTTGCAGAAAGCTAGCAATAAACCAGTTGTGGAGATTGTGATGATAAGGAACAGACTCATAATCACCATCACGGCCACTAAGGAGGAATGCCGTGATATTGCCGTAATACTCCTTGAATGCAAATAATCGGATGGCCCACTTTCATCTGTCGTGTTCGTGGATAGAGTTGATGATGGTGCCACCATTGATAATATTGTTAAGGAATTGTCATATCCACTTCCTGAAGAGGAATTCACCATTAAAAATTTTGTTGATTCGAGCCCAGACAAAGAGTCAGTGTTTGAATTTCTCGGGTGGAGATTTCCGGGGTCTTGCGTCTGCCGTAATATTCTTTTGAGAAACAGGCGGAATTCGGTTTCCAAATTGGAGTCACGTCCAAATGGAACATTCTTCATGGTTAATGGCACGCTTGTTGCTGTGTTCAATATTTCAAAACTTAAGATTTTTTTACCTTAAAGTTTGTGAATTCAAAAGTTCAAGGATTATAGATCCTCTTAGCAGTTTCAATCTTATTTCTCAATCATGTCCTTTTTAAAGTTGTTAACGGAATATTACATTTTTGTGTCTGAAGTAATGGGAAATCCTTTTAAAAGTCACACTGGTTTAAAAGGACATGGTTTTCACATCAACATTTAAAAATGGGAATTGATTTTCTGATTTTGAAATTTATTTTATGACCTTTCAATAAAGCCTTTAAACTTTATCTCTTTATTGAGATATGTTCTGAAAAGCTTAACAAAACCAGTACTGTGCAGGAGACACAAACATTTACATCTTGAAACTTTCAGCCTTTTAAGGTTATTTATTTTAACCCTGAGAATTATATCAAAGATTATATGCATGAAATACTACATTTCAGTTCTTCTGCAAAGAAATCACAATAGTGCTGATTGTTATCAACACATGAAGCATGTTGTATTGCTGGTGTAGTAGTGGAAGTTGTTAGGAAAATATCATATTGTATCATTGGAAGGTGTTAGGAAAACAGTACTGGCTGACTTGTGGACAATATAAGTAGGTTTTTGGAAAGTATCATACACAAATGTTTGACAAGTCATTTTTAGGTGTCTGGAAAATATTATTTGCACATTATATGGAATCATACATCATTGCAAATCTTGTTTTTGTTATATTCTTGATCACTTCCATCTTGATTGGATCTGTAATAAGCTTACACCAGGTTTTTTTTCACCAAAGAAAATTTGATTCTTCAGCATTTAGTTTAGTATTGCTTCAGTAATGGTAACAGTGACGACACACTTGACACAAGTATTTTCAAATGCAATGTGTTGATATTTCTTGTGCCGGAATTGACACCTCCCTCCAGAAGTACTGCTATTTGCTCACATTCCAATCTGTAAGAGTCATACTTTTGAATTCCAGTTTTGTCCATAAAATCCTTTGGATTGCATGATTAAGAATTTCCCAACAGCAAAGGACAGAAAAGACTTTCGTCCTTCAGTGTCGTGTATGAATCACGGAGCCAAATGTAGGTATAGCCTCCTGTCCTTCAATGTCGTGTATGAATCACGGAGCCAAATGTGGGTATAGCCTCCTGTCCTTCAATGTCGTGTATGAATCACTGAGCCAAGTATAGGTATGGTCTCCTGTCCTTCAGTGTCATGTATGAATCACAGAGCCAGCACAGGTGCAGGTATTTTCCTGTCCTTCAGTGTCGTGTATGAATCACGGAGCCAGCACAGGTGCAGGTATTTTCCTGTCCTTCAGTGTCGTGTATGAATCATAGAGCCAGCACAGGTGCAGGTATTTTCCTGTCCTTCAGTGTCGTGTATGAATCATAGAGCCAGCACAGGTGCAGGTATTTTCCTGTCCTTCAGTGTCGTGTATGAATCATAGAGCCAGCACAGGTGCAGGTATTTTCCTGTCCCTCAGTGTCGTGTATGAATCACGGAGCCAAATGTGGGTATAGCCTCCTGTCCTTCAATGTCGTGTATGAATCACTGAGCCAAGTATAGGTATGGTCTCCTGTCCTTCAGTGTCATGTATGAATCACAGAGCCAGCACAGGTGCAGGTATTTTCCTGTCCTTCAGTGTCGTGTATGAATCACGGAGCCAGCACAGGTGCAGGTATTTTCCTGTCCTTCAGTGTCGTGTATGAATCATAGAGCCAGCACAGGTGCAGGTATTTTCCTGTCCTTCAGTGTCGTGTATGAATCATAGAGCCAGCACAGGTGCAGGTATTTTCCTGTCCTTCAGTGTCGTGTATGAATCATAGAGCCAGCACAGGTGCAGGTATTTTCCTGTCCCTCAGTGTCGTGTATGAATCACGGAGCCAGCACAGGTGTGCTGTGTCTCTTGTCTTTCAGTGTCGTGTATGAATCACAGAGCCAGCACAGGTGCAGGTATTTTCCTGTCCTTCAGTGTCGTGTATGAATCACAGAGCCAGCACAGGTGCAGGTATTTTCCTGTCCTTCAGTGTCGTGTATGAATCATAGAGCCAGCACAGGTGCAGGTATTTTCCTGTCCTTCAGTGTCGTGTATGAATCATAGAGCCAGCACAGGTGCAGGTATTTTCCTGTCCTTCAGTGTCGTGTATGAATCATAGAGCCAGCACAGGTGCAGGTATTTTCCTGTCCTTCAGTGTCGTATATGAATCACGGAGCCAGCACAGGTGTGCTGTGTCCCCTGTCCCTCAGTGTCGTGTATGAATCACGGAGCCAGCACAGGTGCAGGTATTTTCCTGTCCTTCAGTGTCGTGTATGAATCACGGAGCCAGCACAGGCAGGGAAGCACAGTGTTTCCCCATCAGTCATGGTGATGGTATCGAGTCTGTTATGCGTGAAGGAGGCCTGGCATCTGCTGCTTCTGAAGGTGTGACGTAGAGAAGGTCATGTTGATGCTGGAAGACAATGTCTGCTCTCAGCTTGGATTTGCCGCCTCTGTAATCAAAAAGGTCATGGATTTAGTGGGGATGTCCTAAGTGAATGCTCTACTATGACTGTGTTGTGAACAGGACTTTTCATGGTTATGTTTACCCATGCTTGCTGTAAAAGGCGACCATGCTTGTCGTAAGAGAAAACCATAGGGATCGGGTGGTCAGGCTTGGTTGATGCATGTCATGGATCTCAAATGTGTGGATTGATGCTCATAATGTCAATCACTGGATTGTCTGGTCCAGGCTCGATTATTTTACAGACTGCCGTCATATCGCTGGAATATTGCTGAGTGCGGCGTTAAACAACAAACAAACAAACATGGTTTGTTCGTATGCACACCAGAGACTGGTGGTTGCGGGGTTTACACATAAAATCAGTCCATGCAGGTCTGAACAACACCAATTGTCCTATGTTACAAATTACAAGCATTTTTTTGGATGAAATGTTGCTGTGTGACAGTTTGTCTGTCTTGTGCCCACCGACGGACTCATCATCGTCATTGTCGTCATCAACACCCAGGTTCCATTCCCCACATAGGTACGATGTGTGAAGCCCATTTCTGGTGTCCCCCGCTGTGATATTGCTGGAATATTGCTAAAAGTGGTGTAAAACCATACTCACTCACTCACTTCAACCATCAACATAATAATCATTATCATTGTCGTCAACATTATCATCACCATCACCATCGCTTCAATCATCATCACTTTTCATCATTCTCAACATCATCATTATCGTCACCATCATCATCGTCATCATCATCCCCATCATCATCAGCGATCACTGTTCAGTAGTGCTTTCACCATGAAATCTACCATTCATCCATTGATGTACACAGACATGACAAATTACATTAGATACAGTCGACTGTACTTGCCACTCAGACCACATGTAACAGTATGTCCTCATTTAGATTTCTCATTTTGCTCTCATCAATTTGTAATTTGGCATGATTCTTTGATTTGTTCATTGGGAAAACTCTGCATGTGCTTCTAGTTTCATGAGACATGAAGAGAAAACTTGATGACTGCATCTCTCTGTCCAAGCTCTGCAGCCATGTTAGATCGTACAGTGGTGACAGTTCAGGGTGCCAGATGGTGAAACCTGTCCAGCTGCTTGGAGCAAGAGTTGGGAAATCAGTCAGGATTTCATCATCACTCATTGTTACAACAAGTCAAATAGTGATTATAGTCAGTTGAGTTTTTTTAACATCTTAAAAGTTGCCACATTTTGACATTTTCAATAGCGTATTCCGTAACCCTGTAAATGTGTGGCGTTCAACATTGGGAATACAATCTGACTAGGACCCCTTAAAGCAATGCCTGAGTTTCAACACTGCATGGTGTATGATAATAATATAGATTCAGTGAATGGTTGCACATTTGAAAACCTAAACGTTGGAAATTAAAGGAACGACCATTTAATAATCTAGGTTAGGGGGGTATGGGTGGCGTAGATGAGATTTTTTTACTGAGATATGATGTTTTTTCAGTTATACCTGAATAAAGTAGATGTAGTTTTAATTCAAACTATGAACCTTAACAATTTTTGAAAGCATCTTGCAAAAATACATTTCTTTGTGGCAGACAATGTTTTTTTTCCAATAGTTTAAAGCATAAATATTGTTTTAAAGCATTTCAGGCACAAGTAATTTTTTTGATAAAAATAAAATCCCAGGCCCTCACCCCCCTGCCCTCCCCTTGTGTATCATCAGCACTGGACTGAAAATTCTTAACTTTTATGATTCAGAGAGAAGTTTTTGAAAAGGAAGCTGTTTGTATTTACTGTTATATTTTTATGGTCTGCATAGAGGAATGTCCTGACCTTTGACTGATTTAAATGTCAAGGTCACTAACAGACCTAGAGGAGATGAAAAAGAAACTAAATAAAAGTAAATGGGAATTTCTTTTCTAAACATACGATTTCCTTTATAAACTCTTGCATGTTCCAGCTGTAACCCCTGTTTGTCTCCCTGCTGGGATTCTAGAGTAGAACACATCCCCTGCATCCCATGCTGAATGTCTCACTGTTGGGATTCTAGAGTAGAACATGTCCCCTGTATCCCATGCTGAATGTCTCACTGTTGGGATTCTAGAGTAGAACATGTCCCCAGCATCCCATGCTGAATGTCTCCCTGTTAGGATTCTAGAGTAGAACACGTCCCCTGCATCCCATGCTGAATGTCTCCCTGTTGGGATTCTAGAGTAGAACACATCCCCTGCATCCCATGCTGAATGTCTCCCTGTTGGGATTCTAGAGTAGAACACATTCCCTGCATCCCATGCTGAATGTCTCCCTGTTGGGATTCTAGAGTAGAACACATCCCCTGCACCCCATGCTGAATGTCTCACTGTTGGGATTCTAGAGTAGAACATGTCCCCAGCATCCCATGCTGAATGTCTCCCTGTTGGGATTCTAGAGTAGAACACATCCCCTGCATCCCATGCTGAATGTCTCCCTGTTGGGATTCTAGAGTAGAACACGTCCCCAGCATCCCATGCTAAATGTCTCCCTGTTGGGATTCTAGAGTAGAACACATCCCCTGCATCCAATGCTGAATGTCTCCCTGTTGGGATTCTAGAGTAGAACACGTCCCCAGCATCCCATGCTAAATGTCTCCCTGTTGGGATTCTAGAGTAGAACACATCCCCTGCATCCCATGCTGAATGTCTCCCTGTTGGGATTCTAGAGTAGAACACATCCCCTGCACCCCATGCTGAATGTCTCACTGTTGGGATTCTAGAGTAGAACATGTCCCCAGCATCCCATGCTGAATGTCTCCCTGTTGGGATTCTAGAGTAGAACACATCCCCTGCATCCCATGCTGAATGTCTCCCTGTTGGGATTCTACAATGTGTGACCTGACTGCCCTAGTGACCTGACTGCCCTAGTGACCTGACTGCCCTAGTGACCTGACTGACCGTGCGACCTGACTGACCGTGCGACCTGACTGACCGTGTGACCTGACTGACCGTGTGACCTGACTGCCCTAGTGACCTGACTGCCCTAGTGACCTGACTGACCATGTGACCTGACTGACCGTGTGACCTGACTGACCGTGTGACCTGACTGACCGTCTGACCTGACTGACCATGTGACCTGACTGACCATGTGACCTGACTGACCGTGTGACCTGACTGACCGTGTGACCTGACTGCCCGTGTGACCTGACTGCCCGTGTGACCTGACTGCCCTAGTTACCTGACTGACCGTGTGACCTGACTGACCGTGTGTCCTGACTGACCGTGTGACCTGACTGACCGTGTGACCTGACTGACCGTGTGACCTGACTGCCCGTGTGACCTGACTGCCCGTGTGACCTGACTGACCGTGTGACCTGACGTGTTAACCCCTCACAGCATGTATAAATCACGCATGACATCAGCCACTAGTTTTCCTGGCCAGGATTCAATCATTTACAGGTCACAATATAGCTGGAATATTGCTGATTGGTGCATAAAACCTTCACTCACTTGCGCAAATGATGTTTATGAATTGAAACCAATCTAGGAACTGTTTCATCTTCTTGTCTAAGAATGAGATTATCTGCCACTTTCATCTCTCTGTGATGATTGCATCTGAGAGAAAGGGTTCAATCCCTTCTTGCTGTCAACATTTTAGCTTGAAGGTCGTCGAGGGACAAGATACCGCCTCTGGTTGTGGAGAGTTGTTGCCTAATAAAAACATGGGCAGATGAATTGCAAGTATTTTAAACTTCAAAGGGCCTGTTTTCATCCTTTATGACGTGTCCAATAAATTGAGGACATTTTCAAGTCAAGAGTCGTTTCTGTGAATATTTTAAATACAGTTGACTTTTGTTGGAGGCCAGTGCTGATTTTGCTGGAGACAAATGGTATTTGGACGTTGTTGTGATGTACCTATTTGACAGGACATTTTTGGGGCTGCCAACCCCACCCACCCATCAACCCTGAATACCATCCAATTTTTCACGCTGAGTCTCATTGCTCATTCCTGAATCCCGAATGTCACTTAATACAAATCTCAAAGGATTGAGAAAAGGGTACAATTTGAATTCAATTTCTGTAAAAATCGCCAAAAAAATGTATCAAGGACACTTATATGTATACCATTTTATTTTATTTTGTTGAAATGTTGAATCTGCCCAGACAGTGGAAAGTTGGTGGTTCGATCCCTGGACACATCATCTGGTACTTGTTGATGGTACTTGTTGTTACTCTGCCTTAAGAGAAGGACTTGTCGGCTCAGATTCCGTATACTGTGTTTGCATGAGGTGATCCATTTTAAACTGCCACATGGTATCTCAGTGGGCTAGCACTATAAAACCAACATTACAAGCAGTCACACATACACACTTTGCATGTCTACCTGGCACATACTGAACTGGTGCCTTTTGATATTTATCACATTTTTATTTTTTATGTTTCCATGGCAACAAGTTGGACTTAGAAAACAATAAGGGTAGGGTTCGATTCCAGATGAAATTTTCCACATTTAGCAGACACATGCTGAATTTTTGCCTTTTGCTATTTATGAATTTTAAAAATTGGTATTACTGGGAATTATTTCCAGAAATGTTTTGTTGCCAAACATTGTATGTCTATATATAAAGCATATACTGAACAGAACTGGTGCCATTTGATATTAAGGAGTTTTAGAAATATTTATTTTAGAATTTCCATTGCAGCTATTTTGACATGGGCTAAGAGAAATGTTGTGACAGTCACCTGGTTTGGGACAGTTACCTGGTTTGGGACAGTTACCTGGTTTGGGACAGTTACCTGGTTTGGGACAGTCACCTGGTTTGGGACAGTCACCTGGTTTGGGACAGTTACCTGGTTTGGGACAGTCACCTGGTTTGGGACAGTTACCTGGTTTGGGACAGTCACCTGGTTTGGGACAGTCACCTGGTTTGGGACAGTTACCTGGTTTGGGACAGTCACCTGGTTTGGGACAGTTACCTGGTTTGGGACAGTCACCTGGTTTGGGACAGTTACCTGGTTTGGGACAGTCACCTGGTTTGGGACAGTCACCTGGTTTGGGACAGTTACCTGGTTTGGGACAGTTACCTGGTTTGGGACAGTCACCTGGTTTGGGACAGTCACCTGGTTTGGGACAGTCACCTGGTTTGGGACAGTCACCTGGTTTGGGACAGTCACCTGGTTTGGGACAGTTACCTGGTTTGGGACAGTCACCTGGTTTGGGACAGTCACCTGGTTTGGGACAGTTACCTGGTTTGGGACAGTCACCTGGTTTGGGACAGTTACCTGGTTTGGGACAGTCACCTGGTTTGGGACAGTTACCTGGTTTGGGACAGTCACCTGGTTTGGGACAGTTACCTGGTTTGGGACAGTTACCTGGTTTGGGACAGTCACCTGGTTTGGGACAGTCACCTGGTTTGGGACAGTCACCTGGTTTGGGACAGTTACCTGGTTTGGGACAGTTACCTGGTTTGGGACAGTCACCTGGTTTGGGACAGTCACCTGGTTTGGGACAGTCACCTGGTTTGGGACAGTCACCTGGTTTGGGACAGTCACCTGGTTTGGGACAGTCACCTGGTTTGGGACAGTCACCTGGTTTGGGACAGTCACCTGGTTTGGGACAGTCACCTGGTTTGGGACAGTCACCTGGTTTGGGACAGTCACCTGGTTTGGGACAGTTACCTGGTTTGGGACAGTCACCTGGTTTGGGACAGTCACCTGGTTTGGGACAGTTACCTGGTTTGGGACAGTTACCTGGTTTGGGACAGTCACCTGGTTTGGGACCATAACATGTGAACATGTAACTTCGTCAACTATAGGCTTGTCTTGAATGCAATGTTAATTCCTTGTTCACCTCACCTCACCTCACCTCACCTCACCTCACCTCACCTCACCTCACCTCACCTCACCTCACCTCACCTCACCTCACCTCACCTCACCTAGAGACACAAATACTTTGTTTGCATTGTAGAGTTTAGTTAACTGGAAATTTAACACACTAATTTGAATTTAGAACCTAAATATAAGCTTCTACACTATTTCAACCAGAGGTGGTTTTTGTGATTTGAAACCTCAGATTAACCAGTCAGGCTTGAATATTTCTAAGTTCATGGTAGAAATCTAGTTAATGCCATTCACAAAGAGACTATCTCATTATTGAGTTGTTTTCACTGTAAGTAGTGATGAGTGACGCTCACAAATACCAGTCAGTGTCAGCATGCTGCTGTATTGTCCCTCAAATGTTTTCCCAATCTGATCCGTTGCTATCTAGAGCTAACATTCACCACCAGAGTGTTTGTAGAAGAATTTCCTTTCTCCTTGAATGACCAATTTGCCAATATAATTCACTCAGGGGACAAGCAAATGTTCTGCTATCTGTTTTTTTACTAACATAATTCTAGTTATCCAGTTTCCAAGGTGATAATTAAAGAAGGGTGCAGTTGGGTCTCAACAAAAGAATGTACTTAATTGTATTTTTTTTGTATCTGGTTTCTACTCAGCGAGATTAAATTTGAGTTTTTGTTAATCTGAAATGTACTTGGTTATGGGCAAGTAGCCAGTGTTTGAAGTAGGGCCGGGACAGGTACCTCGGGTACCCGGGTCGGGTGGGTACTGAGTAGGAACAGGGTACCAACAGGACTACCGGGGGCAGCCCCTGGTTAATCACATGATTTTGTTTAATGACAAAAATTATCGAGGACTCCATGGTTACAGTATAAGTGACTAATATTTGCATTTCTTTCTGACTATGCACGCATTCCTTCTGACTTTATATGTCTGAATGAAGATAAGCTTCAGTCAACTTCAGTGTATGCATGACCAGACTGTTTTATACACGTATCTAAATACATTTTGCCAGGCTATGGTCAAACTATTCCCAGTTGGACATTGGGATGTATCTCTCGAGACCTACAGCGGGTACCCAGGTAGGGTCAGGTCATGGGGGGATGGGTACCCGGGGAGTAAACTAGGACTTGTCTTAGCCATAGTTCCAAGTACCCAACTGTCCGAGATGGGCTGTTTTTGTTGTGCAAGGTCAACTTTTAAACACGCTCACGAAGTTGTGTTAATAAAATACCCAGGACATTATATAAAATCCCTGGAATATTATATAATATCCCTGGGACATTACAACATCCCTGTTTATGAGATTTAACCCGACTGGAAAGTGAAACCTCACAATAGGTTTTAATGCCTATAGAAAGAAGTCTCTTACTTAATAGTGAACCCAATGAATAGGTTTATAAGATAATGAAAATGAACTTATGTCAAAAATGGCACTTAGATAGTGACCCAATATTAATATATCTCAGAAAATGTTCAATAATTAGTCCATTAGTCCATGTAGATCAACAATCCATGATCAGCTGATGATACTCGCGTGAGTGAGTTAGTTGAGTTCAACACCGCTTTGAACAGCATGATATTAATTCACAGTGTCTCAGCTTGCTGCTGGAGGAAAGCCCAAAGTCATGCAGGTCTCATCCATATAATGTCAATTTATTTTGAGATTTAAATCTGTTATGCCTGACATGAGCAATAGAAAGTGCAATGAAGACATAAAACTTTAATGGATAACAAACCTCATTACAGTTTGTAACCACGCAACAAACAAGAAGAAAGTTTTTATCCAAAAGAATTTCAAGTTTTCTTCAAACTTTCAAATGCTTATCAAAGACAAGAAAATTTCCCATTGTTAAAATCAAAACTGTTTAGTGATACATTTTAGTATAGTTTCGTAAAACATGTGACACATGCCAGAATTTAGGTCTGTATGAAACTGAAGGGTGAACAATCTTCTTCCTCTTCATCCAAACATTTTGATGTCCTTGATACACTTCTCAGTAAATCAGTCGACACAAAAAAATATCATTTCATATTTTCCTCATTCACATTGCTACTTCAGAGACAAATTTGTCGTTGTCAATCAGTATCCCCAAAATGATAAAACTTCTCATTTCTCAGACATCCGTGAACAAAAAAAATCAAAACTTAAACAAACTTGTTTCAGCTTCTTCAAAATCCCAAAATATTTGCCCTTTTCAAAAACAGCTCAATCAGTGTTTGATACCATGACTGAAACTGAAAGAGTCATATCATGACCCTTATGTAAGTAGTAACATCAAGTCTGAGGGGCCTCTCCAAATATTCTAAGTACCTGAACACTCTCCTTTTCTAACACAGCATGCATTCATGTCAATAGCAAGTGTTTTATATCATCGATAAAATTCAAGGAGATGTTTTCATATGCCTAATGTAATAAAACCAAGTTTTAGGGGACCTGTTCAACTTCTTTATAAGTACCAAACACCCTTAATTTCTAACACTGCATATTTCACAAACTCTTACTTACATGCACCAAGAGAGGTCCTTCCAGCAGTTAACACAAACTAGCCAGTCATATTCCCATGAATAATCCAATTTGTCAAACAGCCGCAACAGAACTCATCCGCGATTTCTCCCACAGCGCAGCAGACGTCACCTTCTCTCAGCTGCCGACTGGCAACTAAACTTGTTAGAGGCCGTCTGTCCGAGTCTTTGTGTAGTTTATTATGTAATAGATCTGCTTCATCCAATGGGAACAGGCCCTCGATGCTAGTAATTACTTTCTTGGACCAGCATAAGCCTGCTGTAACTATGTTTACTGCCTGCTCTGTTCTTCCCTGGCTTTGATCTGGCTGCGGTCCTCCCAGGGAAATTGTTTTACATCTCGGAGCGGCCCACTCTCAGCTTACAGAGTTCTTCATTTTCTCTCTGTCCCCTTCGTTGAGTTGGGTAGCTCTGGGAGTGAGCTGGAATCTTCTTGGGTTTGAGGATCGTGGTTGGGCAAGGGAGGTTTCTGCTTAATTAGCTGCAATTGGTATTGATTCTTTCCTTCATCGCTTCTCTCACTCGCTGAAGTGACGGACAAATGATTTGTGTCGGTTGTCTACCGTGACTAATTTACAGTCGTTGGGTATTGTCATCTGTTCTGTCATTACATAAATAACAAGAGTTGTGGGGGTAGCATTGCGGAGTTCCTTGAGTGTGAGATTCAGCATGATTTGTTACTTCCTGACAATGGGTGTTGTGTCATATGGCATTATTTACTTCCAGACAATGAGTGTTGTGCCATATGGCATTATTTGTTACTGTCAGACAATGGGTGTTGTGCCATATGGCATTATTTGTTACTGTCAGACAATGGGTGTTGTGCCACATGGCATTATTTGTTACTGTCAGACAATGGGTGTTGTGCCACATGGCATTATTTGTTACTGTCAGACAATGGGTGTTGTGCCACATGGCATTATTTGTTACTGTCAGACAATGGGTGTTGTGCCATATGGCATTATTTGTTACTGTCAGACAATGGGTGTTGTGCCATATTTTTTTACTTCCAGAAAATTGGTGTTGTGCCATATGGCAGGATTTACTTCCAGAACGTGGGTGGTGTGCCATATGGCAGGATTTGTGCTAGGTTTAATTGTTAGATCGTGATTTTTGCAGTAGTGGGAGGAAGTGTCAGCGTGTTTGTGCTCTGTCAAGCATCAAAGGATGAGTGATCGATCAATGTTCTGTGGATCGTTCACTTACAAAGGCAGATATATGTGCAGTGTATGATGATGTCTTGTCTAAAGATTATAACATTATTCCTCTTTTTTGAGTAAGTGGCAGCCTTATTTCTCTTTGTGATGGCCAGAGGATGAGTGGCAGAAATGGTGGCACAGTTGTAGGGACAAAGGTGAGGCCTTTTGTTCCAGCAACACTTCCTTTGTATCTCGGGACAGCATATGTGTTTATAAAGTTTGCTGTTTGCTAAAATGGCACTTTTCACTTTCCGCTTAAGGCCCATGATCCCGCAGCCCCGTGAGATGTCTGTGAAAGTAGGGCAGCCCGAACGTCTCTGTTGTATAAAGTGGTGCCATGCTTCAGGGGTAGAATAGGACCGGCCATACTTGTCATGAGGTCCGACTTAAATTTCTGACCTGATTTTGTCATTGTAGAGTGTGACCGCCTCCGTGGTCTAGTGGTAGAGCGTCTACCCGGAGAGCAGAAGGGCCGGGTTTCAATCCCCGGCACATCATAGCCAAAGAAGTTAAAAGATGGTACTTGTTAAAAGATGATACTTGTTGTTACCCTGTCTGGCGCTCGACATTAAGGGGTTAAAACAAGGACTGGTCGGCTCTGAGTCAGTATACTGTGTCTGAGTGGGGTATTTATGGTATCTCAGTGAGCTAGCACTATAAATTGGCATCAGTCCGGACTAGTACAAGCAGCCACACAAACACACACACGTGCATGCACGTCGCTATATAAGTGCAATAATCTTGGACGCGCTGTTAAACCCCATTTCACCTCACCATTGTTGAGTGTATCCTGACAACTTTTTAGTTCTCATACTATCGACCACTAGTTTCCTTGGGTCACACCCACTCCTGTTACTCAAGTGTTATTTGCTGCAATTATTGTTATTATTATTGAAAATGCTACAACACTAAAAATGTAAAAAGAGAATGCTGAAATAAAGGATCCCTGTCAAATGAGATGAGCCCAATTGTAGCACCGCATGCCGTACAAGGTTGACCTCGTTTTATTCATTTTGATTGGATAACCATGACCTCTGTCACACCGGAACTACCTTTTTCATTCATGACAAAATCATGAGACATCATTCACTTTTACATTTTTAAGGCAGAACTAAAGGAATCTTATGAAAGCGAGAGACATTTACAAACATTTTATTAAACCAAACAAGATAGTCACAGGCATGAAATTCGCTTTGCAGTCTATACTAGTTATGTATAGAGCTACCACAGACATTATGTAATCAAGCTATATCCAGAGCTATAGATAAGTATTTACGTAAAATACCCCCACGCACCCAACCACCCACCCACCCATCTCCAAAAATATTCAAAATTCAATTACTTTCAATTAACTTGCGTACAGAAATGCATGCATTAAATGTAAAACTCAAATGTATAAAAACAGCATGGGTAAATACCCAATGACGCTTTTTCAGCATGCGTACAAAGGAGCTTATTTCTGAGACACAATTACAATTACGAGCTAATTACTTTCCGAGTCAAGCCTATTTATTTAAAACAGATATATACATTGAAAACATTATTTCATTTTTTAAAAATCTTAAAATGTTCACTAATTTTGGAGAGAAAAACAATAGAGTGATGAATAGATGAGTGAAAAAATATAGGTTGTAACCCAATGAAAAATGTTTACCGTACTTGACATAATAAGTGCCCACGGCAATATTTGCTAATATATTGACTAGTGAACAATCCCAATTAGCACCCCTTCCGATTGATCAATGTACACTCATTTATTCGTGTATAATATGCACTCGTGTGTTATATGCACCCTTAATTATGGGCAATTAAATTCTGGAAAATATCTGTCATTTATGATACTCACATACTTTTCTTTTGTATCATTTTAGGCTGTCAGCAAAACCACAAAATTTACGATCTTTCAACTCTGTTTTTTTTCTCACCAAAAATATATTCTAATAAGAGCCCCCTATTTCTAATTTTGAGTGTGCCCTTGGCGCTTATTACGTTGAATACAGTAAACTCAATTAAAATATAAACCCCAGAGTAAAAACACAATTGCTCAAAAAGTGGAGCTCTGTATATCCATTTGCAATATACGACTACTGATAGATCGAGACACACCTGACCACTTTCGCAACTTTCAATTTGATTTAACGTAAAGGACTGAGATGCTGATGAGGCATGACCTCAGCTTTCTGGGAAGTTTTACACTTTTAGGGTCCATTTTAATTATAACCTTGAATACACCCGTGAAGATCCGGGTTAGAATAGGTCTTCGGATCCCAATGGTTTAGATGGATGCTCATGATATCAGTCAATGGACTGTCTGGTCCAGACCTGATTATTTACAGATACCATCCTGTGTCCTGGGTGGCTGAAAAACTGGTCAATTGGAGTGAAGTGGGAACTGTCTGAAGAGTATGCAGCTTAGCCAATAGATGGGTCTGGGACGAAGTAAAGAAGCACCACCAATTCATCTCAGTTCCCTGCGAGTGTTGAATGTCAGCAGACACACTCGTCATGATCAGATGCAGATCTGTGTTGTGTCATATACAGACTGATTGATTGTGGCACCCTGAGCAACATCACTGATCTCATACAGCACCAGATTATTGGAGAGTGAATCCCATTTATACTACCATCCGTGCTTGTGGCTTTCACTGCAGTGGTGAACTGGATCGGACATACAGTGATATGTCGACTGATCAAAGAGGTGTTAAACCCCAAACACTCTGTGAATTGTAGATTTCTTGAGTTGTATTAATATTCCAGTGCTGGATAAGTGTTTAACAATGTTCCCGTGATTCGGACTGCAAACCTTCTGATACAAGGTGAGATGTTTAATCCACATGGTCAAAGAGTTTAACCCCATCAACAAGCTGAAGAAAGGATGTCATCACCCGTGAAGATCCGTTAAAGGCGACTATGCTTGTCGTAGGAAGCAACTAACGGGATCGGATGGTCAGGTTCGCTGACTTGGTTGATGCATGTCATCGATCCCAATTGCAAGGATCGGTGCTCATGATATCAATCACTGGATTGACAACAAACCAACCCTTCTGTGGTCTAGTGGATAAAGCGCCTGCCTGAAGAGTGGAAGGTTGGTGGTTGGATCCCCTGGCAGCTTCAGTCCAAAAGATGTTAAAAGATGGTACATGTTGTATCCCTGCCTGGTGCTCAGCATTAATGGGCTAAAACAAGGCTCGCTCTGATTCAGTATACTCTGTCTGAGTGGGGTATTCATGTGACAACTGGCATGGTATCTCCATGGGATTGAGAAAATAATTTAAATTAAATTACTGTAAAAATGGCCAAAAAAAATGTATCGAGGACACTTTTACGTATACCTTTTTTTGTTTGTTGTTGAAGTGTTGAATCTGCCCATTCAATCCCCGGCCACATCATCTTAAAACACATTAAAAGATGGTACTTGTTGTTACTCTGCCTGGGGCTTGTCATTAAGAGAAGGACTTGTCGGCTCAGATTCCGTATACTGTGTTTGCCGCATGGTATCTCAGTAGGCTAGCACTATAAAACCAACATTATAAGCAGGACCACCCCCGTGATCGAAAGGATAGAGCATCTGTCCGGAGAGCAGAAGGTTGTTGATTCTTTTCCCGGATGCATTGCTGAAGACCTATTCTACCCCGGATTGGAACGGAAACATCTTAAAATTAATTGAAATGTATTTCTTTTTGCATTTAATACACAGGTACACGTTACATATGGTATATAGACAAGAGACTTTGTTTGAAATATGCCTATGTTGACCCAGCAGTAAATGGGTACCCGGTAGAGAGAGATGCAAATGTGATTGTAAACTGTCTAGCAACTCTTTGTATTCTCCCTAGGGAGCTCAGAATGAAATTTGAGCGCACACTGATCTTAAAATTGGGGTAATAATAGTGTAGTGCCATGAGTATTCACTTTGTTAATGGAATGTGACACATTATAAATGGAGTTACTAGTAGTGTATCATCTGGAGCACTGTCATTAATGTCGGACACTGGAGAAGGCTGTCTTGTGGAAGTTTGTGAGGTATGGCGTGATGAAAAGTAAGTACTTCTCCTTAGACGTCTGGCAGTTGGACATGGGTTGATCAGATTAGCAGCTGTGACAACAACCAGTTGTTGTGTAATCTGTTTATGTGCCACTGCCTGGAGCATGTGTGGAGTGAGTGATCACTTCAGCCGGGGACTCCAACCAGCTTAGCAACAATATATATCATGTTCATAGCGACCTCTAATCACAAGTGACTATAGCAATATATATCATGTTCAT